AGGAAGGAAGGAAGGAAGGAAGGAAGGAAGGAAGGAAGGAATTCGTGTTAACATAGCCCATTTTTAGCCAAAGAGGCTAAAAAGTCAGGTAGGGTCTGGAGCTTTAGAGACCACTCTGGAAACACAAGGAGAGAGCCTTCAGTGGTCCCCAGCAGGAAGGGCCGCTTACCCAGAGGGTGGACAGGCCACGCCTTCTTTGCTGGGACATCCTCGAAGGTCAGGGACTCCTGTAACAAAAGGATGAGCCAGACCCTTGGTGAGAGAGGAATGGGGCTGTGAGCTGAGGGGGATGGAAGACTCTGAGGGTTTAAATTAAGGAAGACACGGATTTGCCACAACAGCAGGGGCAGAGAGCGTCCGGGGGCCGAGGACAGTCTGGAGGGAGGGGCCGGGCCAGCTCACCAGCACAGCTGCAAGCTCCTGGTCTCGGGAGTTTTCTTCCAGCCACAGGACAGGGCCCTGGGGGGCTGGCAGCATTGGGGGGAGAAAGAGAGAGCCGTTAGGGGGCCGACTTACCCTCCCTCGGCCGTGCGGGGGGCGCACCCATGGTCAGGGCCCTGGGAGAGACATCTCGGCGCTCTCCCATCCCTGTCAAAGAGGGGGGTGCCTTCGTCTCACCCCGTCCTCACGTACCAGGCTTCCTGGCTCCCACCTGCCCGGGCACCAGCTGCTCACCACACTCTTGCAGGGCTTGGAATGTCCTCTGGGGGCCTGGGCTCAGTGGCTGCTTTGAACTTGGGGGATGTCTCCAGGTCCCCAGCTCAGCAGGCTTGGAGGGCCCTGGCTGGGATGCTGGGGGCTCCACGGCTGGCTCCGGGGCCGGGGGTCCTTCTGAGGGCACTTCCTTTTTGGGGCTGTGGCTGGAGACCTGGGAAGAGCCCCCCTGGTCCTCTGAAGTGACGTCTGCACGGGGACAATTCTTGCCAGCATTAAAACTAAAATCCTGTGCAAAATGCATCTGTGTCAGGTGGCAAACAGGGCAGAGGGACAATGCGCGTCCTTCTCACTCCCAAGGGAAAGGGGGCCACGGAAAGGTGAGGGTCACAGGACTTAGGAGGTTAAGAAGCAATTGTCAGAGGGAGGAAAATGGGGTGTCGGGTGATTCCTTCACGGGGCGCCCGAGTCCCTGTCTTGCCGCCCGGCCGCCCCCCCTCCCCCTTACCAGTGGCCCCACGGCGCTGGACTCCCTCTGGACACCCTCCAGCAGCAGCACAACCTCCTCGCCGTCCCTGAGCTGCTGGCCCTGGAGCCGGGCCAGCAGGTGCGGGGGCAGCACGCTCAGGAACTGCTCCAGCACCAGCAGCTCCAGGATCTGCTCCTTGGTGTGCAGAGCCGGCCGCAGCCAGCGGCAGCACAGCTCCCGGAGCCGGCTCAGGGACGCCCTTGGCCCCATGTCCTCCTGATACTGGAAGCATCTGAAGAGCTGGTGAGCCACC